GATTACAGCTTGCTGCTGCAGGACAACCAATAGGGATCACACCCTCACGTACGCAACAATCCAGCAGCAGTTGCAGTTGCAGTGGTAGCAGCAGCAGCAGTTGCAGTGGCAGCAGCAGCAGCAGCAGTTGCAGTGGCAGCAGCTGCAGCAGCAGTAGCGCGCAGCAACTCCAAGGAAACGCAAAAAAGCAGCAACAGCAGCAGCAGCAGCAGCACGAGCAGCAGACCCCAGACAGCAGCATATACGGTGAAGCAGCAACCCTCATCACTATCAGCAGCAGCAGCAACAGCAGCAACAGCAGCAACAGCAGCAGCAGCAGCAGCAGCAGCAGATGTACATACCAAGGGCATCAATGTGTCTAGCGTATCTCTGTATGTTGCTGCTAGTAGGGTGTTGAGAGCAGCAGCAGCAGCAGCAGCAGCATCAGCAGAAGGATCAGCAAGTGCTACGGGTAGCAGCAGCTGCAGCAGCAGCTGGATGCTGCTTTGTAGCTCTTGCTGCGTCCTGCAGCAGCAGACAAGCAGCAGCAAGCAGCAGCAGATCTCTCTCTTCTTTCTGTTTGCTGCTGCTGCTTCTGTTGCATGCATGAAGGCCTTGTTGCACCGCAGCTGCTGCGGCAGCAGAAACAGCTCTGCTGTTATGGGATCGTCAGGGGAACGATCCCCAGCAGCAGCAGCAGCAGCATCTGCTGCTGCTGCTGCTGCTGCTGCTGCTGTATGGCCGTTGACTGATGCTGGGCTACGGGGCTTCGCTGCGCCGCTGCTGCCGCTGCTGCTGCTGCTGCTGCTGCTGCTGCTGTTGCTGGGTTTATACTGCAGCAGCTGCAGCCGCCCTGAAGCAGAGACCTCACACACGGGTGCTGCTGCCTTGAGTTGCTGCTGCAGCAGCTCCAGCAGCAAGTCCAATCCCTCTGTGTCTAGCCGCAGCAGCAGCTTTGCTGCTGCACGAAAGCACTCCTCAGCAATGAACCCATCGTTTTCTGCTGCAGCACCTGAGAAAGAAAACAGCAGCAAGCAGCAGCACATCAACAGCTGCTACTGCTGCTGCTGCTGCTGCTGCTGTTGTGGTGCGAGGGCAGCAGCAGCAGCAGCGAAACAGAAACAGCAGCAAATGTATTACGAACAGCAGCAACAGCAGTAGTAACAGCAGCAACTCATATAACAGCAGCAACTGCATTAGTAGCAGCAGCAGAGCAGAAACAGCAGCAGCAACAGCAACTCTATTAGCAGCAACCGCAACACCAGCAGCAGCACCAACACCAGCAGCAGCACCAACACCAGCAGCAGCACCAACACCAGCAGCAGCACGAACACCAGCAGCAGCACCAAATCAGCAGCAGCAGCAACTCCAGCAGCAGCACCGACACCAGCAGCAACTCCAGCAGCAGCACCGACACCAGCAGCAACACCAGCAGCAGCAGCAGCAGCAGCAGCAGCAGCAGCAGCTGACGGGGTTGCAGCAGGCCTGCAATGAGGGCCTCAACGAGGCGGGTGATGTGGCGGGCGAGTCTGGTGGGCTCAACAGCAGCAGCAGCAGCAATAAGAGAAGCAGTTGCTGCGTCTTGCTGCTGCACTGCTGCTTGCTGCAGCAGCTGCGGCAGCACTGCATGCGGCTGCTCCCGCAGCAGCAACTCGAATCCTTGAAGCTGTGCTGCTCTTCCTGCTGCTGCTGCTGCTGCTGCTTCTTCTCTTGTCTGCAGCGGCTGCTGCAGCAGCTGCTGCAGCAATGGAGGCACCAATCTATTCGTTGCTTCTTGCCCGAGTGTATCTAAACAAACAGCAGCAGCAGCAGCAGCAGCCTGCTGCACTGCTGCATCTTTGTCCTGCAGCGCCTGCCGCAGCAGCAGCAGCAGCTTATCCATCTCAGCAGCAAGAGCAGCACGGGGGCCGCTGCGGAACGTCTCCAGCAACCCCAGACAAACCCCGCGACGCACAGAGGGATCGGGGGAACGCAGAGACTGCAGCAGCAGCAGCAGCAGCAGCAGCAGCACAAGCAGCAGCAGCAGCAGCAGCAGCACAAGCAGCAGCAGCAGCAGCAGCAGCAGCAGTGCAAGAAGCAGCAGCAGAAACGAGAAAAGAGGAATTTCAGGAGAAGCAGAGGGAGGTTATATAAGACACACACAAAGACAGAAGCAAACTTATATATCAACAGCAGCAGCAGCAGCAGCAGCAGCAGCAGCAGCAACAGCTAATGCTGCTGCTGCTGCACAGGCAGCAACCGCAACTGCAGCAGCAAAAGCAACGACAGCAGCAACAGCATCAGCAACAGCAGCAGCGTCATAATCATCATCAACGCCATCACCACCAACAGCAGCAGCAGCAGCAGCAGCAGCAACAACAGCAGCAACAACAGCAAGAACAACAGCAGCAGCAGCAACAACAGCCGTAGCAGCAGCTGCTGCTGCAGCAACAAAAAGAACAACAACAGCAGCAACAACAACAGCAACAACAACAACAACAGCAGCAACAACATCAACAGCAACAACAACATCAACAGCA